TAGTGCAATACCTGGAGAAAGAGTCTCCAGGGAGTGGATGTAGGTCAACTTGGACTGTACAACTATAAAATTTTGTGTTCTTTTGTTGTCTTTAATTTTCTAGCATTTTTCTTTTCTTCATTTAAAATTTTTTGGTTGAAAAATCCCCTATGATAATCATTTTTATAAATAATTATATATTTTTGGATTAGTTTTTTAATTTTCTAAAACATCTAAAAAGGTTTTCAAAAATCTTACAAATTTTGTTTACAACTAATTCAACCACACCCCCCCCCCCCCCCCCCTTTACCACCCCCCCCCCCCCCCTCCCTATTGGTTAGCCTTGGGATGGTTCTACATGGTTTATCAACCTTCATGAACTTTCATCTCTTATATCTTTTCTAGTATTAGTGAAATAAAAATGAGTTTTCTTCTTAATTTATTTGTGTCTTTCTAATTTCTACATTTTTGGCTAATGATGTAAATATAATGTAAGTACTATTATAAACTCTCATACTTTTAATGAAATAATGAATATTTTTAATATGCCATGTTCTTAATTTAATGCATAAAATGGCAGAATATATGGTTAATATTTTGTGTTATATACCACCTTGATGGAGGAATATTAGAATAAATAGGAGTATTAGAATGGAAAGTTAGACTATATAAATATAGAATGTTTAACTTATAAGGTTCTACAGCATCAATAAGATCAAGGCATTATCTCACTCACTGTGATTGGCTAAACCTACTAGATTCTTCAGAGACATTAAAAATTTAAGAAGGTATTGAATTTCCTTTGCACCGCTACAAGCTTGACTGAGATTTAAGGATGCATATGATCTGATTCACATTAATATTTAAGAGTCTCATTAGAAATATATTAATTTTTTGTGAGGATTAGTTAAAAAATATTTTATATATTGGTATCACATTATCTATTTGCATTCTATGAATATGATAGAAACTCAAAACCCTTCATTCTTATTCAGTAGGTTAAATTGTACATATATAATAAAAAATACTAATTTGATTACGATCTAGCAAAATACTTCCTCATTGGATAGACACTCACTTATTCACTTGATTACTTGTTCGACATGCATATTTATGTATCTAGTAGGCAATTTTATATCAAAGAAAATATAACATTATTCATATTTATACATATATTATTCGATAGTGTAACATTAGTAAGCCACATCAGACGTAACACCAAGATTGTGTCCTATAACCGGGTATTTTTTAGATACATATTATTTTTCATATATCATTCTTTTTTCTTTTTTTTTT